GTGTTTAAGTGATTACTTAAGTCCTTTTAAATGTAATTATACGAACAATAATACTTTAAGAGATAATTTTTTAATATATTTTTCCGTAAAACATGGTTATATTTTACTATTTTGGGGAGAGGGCTTCAGCCCGAAAGCCCACCCCCGTAGATTCGCATGTGTACGTGATCAATTAAATGTTTCAACATAATATTTATTTTTTTAAGAGAAAAGTTTGTTTAGGCAATTATGTTTATTATTAATAAACAAGAAATAAAGGCTTTTCGATCATTTCTGCTAAAAGACATGGGTACTTGAGGTGACAGGACATAAAATAAATAGTTAACAATTGTTTCACTGTAAAACAAACAAAATATATTTCAAAGAGTTTGTCATTTTTAAAACCATTTACAGAGGAATTTTTATCGGCTAGACTAAGTTAAGCTCTGAACTTAGTTTAGCTGCACAAAAGTCTCTGAATAGTTTACAACATGAGCAAGCTTTATTTTCCTTTATAGTAAAATTCGTTTAGTTTACAGTGAAACAATTGTCAATTACTTAAATTAAATATGTCTTTAGTTATCGCTATCTATTCAACAAAAAACGTGACTAAATTAAAAAAAAAATACAAATCTTAAATTTTCTGTTGTTTTTTTTGCCGAAAATAGCTCCATTGTTTATATAAACGTTTTTGTAGCTCTTACAAAGATATTACTTTTATAAATATTTCCCTCTACTGTATTATATCTGCCTTGTATTATATATATATATATATATATATATATATATATATATATATATATATATATATATATATATATATATTGATATTATCTACATATTTATATATATAGTACTGTAATAATAATACGTACTTACTGATATAGTTATATACTTTCCAGCACCTCCGTTGGCTCGGCCCCGTTCGGCCTTTGGTGGCATGGAACCGGTGTCTCGTCCCACCTCGGCCAAGCCGGAGGCTAAGCGCATGCGCTTCCAGCCCCCTACCCCGGAAACACTTCTCCAGATCAAGCAGGCTCTGGACGAATTACCAGTGGTGAGGAAGATATTAAGTCTATTTACGTGTAACTTATTAACATGAACTAAGTTAAATAATTATACTATTTTTTGTCTTAATACATCAGTTCGTATGTCGTGTTGTTACTCTTTGATGTATCAAACGCCTTCGAAATCGTATGGTGGACTATCGTGCACCAGAAGCTGCAGAGGTACGATACACCAAGCAACTTATACGCCCTTGTAAGAAGCTACTTCTAGGACAGACGTTAGAAGATTAGAGGCAATTCATAGTAATAGTAGGAGTTTCCATAGAGATGCCTTCAGGGATCAGTCCTTGGTTCTACTCTATGGAAGCTTGTCATCGCTGAGTTGATGAGAGAACTAGATAGCCTTGGAGCCAGGACCCAAAAATCGACCTCATCGCAGGCGAAGTTTGATTGTAAATTACGAAAGTTTATTTTATTCTGAGTAAAAAGAAACTTGCTGTTCCAGAGCCATTGCTTTCAAAAATGACGGCTGATTTAAAGAGTATTGTTGCCCAAAATCGGTGTTGACCAAGATCGCCGTACTGTTGCTAGACCAAGACCAAGAGTGGTCAAATAAATTAAAAATAAAAACTTAAGCCAAAATAGTTACTAATAATTGACAATTTTAGTTACTGGATAACCAACATACTTTTGCATTTTCATGCACCAAACTAGGTATTTTCATAGACCACAACCTCTACTAGAATAACTTACTTGCACACATCTCTCGACGGTCAATTGGTATCTTTAAAATATTCCTCCTAGTATCTTCCCTCACCTTGATTATGGCTTCGTGCTGTACGGTGGCCTCTCGGGGGAGCTCGTGGACAGACTGAAAAGCATTATGAATACCTTCGTAAGATTTGTCACCGGAACCCTGAGACGTTCCCGTGTTTCCACTATGCTGAGTTAGAATGGCTCTTCAACTCCTTCCGAAGACAATATTTCCTAGGCACATTCTTTTATCAAATAATCAATATCCACACCTTCTTCAAAAGATCTCGTCCTTCTGACCTTTACACCCCTTTTCACAGATCTGTCTCATTTAAACACTCCTTTGTTTTTCCCCACTATCCCACTGAAAATCCGCCTTGCACCATCTTTATCCACATTTAAAACATTCTTTTCTCCTCATTTCATTCAATCAAACGCTGGCTAGTTTTTAGCTGTTTTTTTTTTTATTAATTTATATTGGATAACAATATTGTTATTCTTGAGGAATAAAGATGATTTTCTATTTTATTCTATTCTATATACTGTCTTGTTGGTATAGTTATTAAATGTTTACGAAATTTTCTTTAAAAAAATTGTTAAAATCGGATATTTTGGAGCAAAGATATTTTATACTATACTATTGATATTTTATACTACAAATTTTATATCCTTTGTTTTGGATTTTGATTTTTCAAACTGTTACTGAAGTAATGCTATTTTTTTAGCAAATTACTAATGATGAAAACAAAATGTTCAGGTAAATAATAGAAATCACCTTTTATTTCTTTTTCTTTGTTACTTGGAAAGTAATTTTACTAATTACTTTAATGTATAATTGTTCGCAACGTTTTAGATCATTGGACCACTCTGTTTCTTTTCCTATTCTATTCCACCCCAATTTTTTTCCCACCTCTATTTTAGTTCCATTAGGTGGCCGCATACCTGAGTATACCTTCTATGACTCTTCTGTCATAGATAGTGATGGTAGTTGTGTATCTGAAGCTATGAATTTGCCCCCTACACGTCTCAGCCGGTTTAAGGTTTGGGTCATCCTTCTTGTGAGGTAGTTATTTACTACCTCTACTACTAAATATTAAACTACTAAAGGAAAAAAATAAAGTTATGAAGCCTGAATAAAGATTATTTTAAACATCATACTCAACTATCTTAGACTTTAACATTTTTCAAACTATTTTTTAAATAACAAACTATTCTATTTAAATAAATAGAATGTATAATTTAAACAGCTTTTAAATGACTTAAAAATCGTGGAGTATTAACAAACATGATGTATCACCTATTGAAGGAATTGAAAAAAAAAATTATTTTTAATATTTAGTAGTTTAATAATAAAAGTAAGAAGCTAAAATTAGGCCTTTACCTAATTTTACAACGAGATAGGTTACCACCTCACTTGTTCATATTCTTAGTCCTATATTCAAATTTATAAGGAGTATCCCTGAGGAAAATGGCTTTTGTCATAACAACGATCATTCTTGTTGTCCCTCTCACCATCGTTCAGTTTATTTTCTTCCAGCTTTGCTGTTGGATGTCCACCATAACTGCTAAGTGATTAGCGTAGGCAGTGGTAGGAAAACGCTTTTCTTCCAGGTCTCTCAGCAACTCGTCGAAAACCATCTTCCGTCGAGATATACCAACGATTGATCTCTGAGAACATTCCTTCTCTCTTTGTAAACTTCTATCTTGTAATCACTGCCTTTAATCTTCAATATTCTGTCTTGGGGGTAGCTTTATACGAATTCGTAGAAGCTACTAACAGTTTCGTGCTTCTGCGATTGTTGTAGCTCCATTGGCCACCAAACAATGTTAAAGGTGAAGTATATTAGGTCAGCGGGCGTAAGTGTATTTATATATTTATTGGAGTATCAATCAGGAATGCTTCATTAGATTGGTGCTCTTACTACAGCATGCCAACAATCTACTTTATCTCGAAGCAAGGTTTTTCTCACTCTTTTTCTATTTCCATTGAACTTGAATGGAAACACAAAGCTCCTTTAATGGTAAAATTTTTTTCTCGTGGCTTCTGTGTTTACTTTTATAATGATTTATAATTTCTTCTTGCAGGCTGTGCACTTTGCTGGAAAAGAATTGCACAAAGGGATGTCAATCAGCGAGCCAGACTTCGGTACGCCGAGCCCGGGAACTAGTGGCGATGATAAGATAGAGTAAAGAATATGAATAATAAAACCATTTTGATGACTAGTCCGTATCATTTTTTATTTGTTTCGTTAATGATTCTGAAGGGTGTCGGGTAGCCCAGTAAGGTACTACGCAGTTCTGAGTACCCAGGTTTGATTTCGGCTGGATCAACTAATTATTTATTCTGTTTCATCAGCCGTGATTCGGACCTTGAGGTCGGAAGACCCTCCTCAGGCACTTACAGCCTCTATAAAGTAGATACTACTGATTAAATAATTAATAAGAGAAATTCCCTGGTCGTTTAGCGTGATACCGCCTCAATCACCATCTTGCACGACCGTTAGTCCAGAAACAGTACTTCCTAACAAAATACTTAACTCAACACAAGGATCATACATGAAGCATGATGCATGGGTTGTAACGGTACAGTTTTTTTTTTTTTTTTAGGAATGGTGATTATTGGAGTGGTTTTAATAATCAAGAACTCTTCTTAAGACCAATCTTGACCAGCTGGTTATATGTAGGAATAACACTGAAAGCACACAATTTATACCGTTACCTGAGGAATACCTGGAAGCTTTTAGTATTAATTTTACCGTTATTCAATTTTTAACTTATTAATTTTTTTTTCAATAAAAATAAATATTGTATCCATTATAGCTTACCTTTCTAAATCCTTAAACAATCAAAAGCAAATATTTTTGCTGCAGTGGTGTTTAATTAAAGAGATTCCTGAACAATTTTGTTGAGATTTTGTTCTCTTGGGCCATTCAATAAAAACAAACTGTTGCATGAAATATAATTTCATGCAACAGTTTGTTTCTATTGTATACACTTCCTTCCTACGAATTTAGAAATTAAAATCATCACATATCCGCAGTAGTCAACCTAAATTCACTGTAACAACTTGTTTGCTCATACAACTCAATTTTATTGGTATATAAGAGAATGAAATATCTAGCAGAAAATTATTACTTCTTTCACATTTATCTCACAACATATCTTTATGGCATTTATGGAACCCACGTGATATAAGCATATCTATTAGGATTTGTAATTTTTTAAGGTTAATTAACGTAAAGGTGATGAAATGACTAATATAGAGGGTGACATTGTATTTATTTACAAATCGGCCTTTATGAAAATTATGCGTCTCCTCGGAGGACAGATTTGCAGGTAAGATTAGGCATTTCAGGTACGGCCTGCTTGAGGTCTTCGTATCGGCAGCAGTATACGTAGCCTTTGGATAAGTCGTCTTGGAGCTTAGGCCATTTACTTTCAGCGCAGATGTCCTTGCAGAGGGTCTTGGGTGGGCTTGTAAGGAAGGGGTTGTTGGTGGAGACGAAGGCAATGCAGGAATCGTCTTGGGTGTTCCTGAGGACCTTCCAGAAGTGATTTGGTACAGGAAGTCTGGAGCCCTGGAGCTTGATCTCCTTCACTCCTCTGGCTGCTGGCAAGGTGAGGACTCCTTCGGTTCCGGTGACTACTTGAAGGTCAGCACCGAGCTGTAAAAATTTGGTAGAATATTATATTTTATAAATATTCTCGTTGACAAATGCTTAAATTTTAGTATTATCATTCAACACTCACACTCTTGGCGATTTTCCTTGTGTTGTCTTCTACCTTGAGCCAATGACCGGCGTTGATAGATTGCCATTGTGGAGCTACGTTGACGTAGAAGTAGGTCAAAAACTGATGAGCGCTGAAAAGGAAATCTGCGTCAGGTGCGAGATGTCCTCTGGCCAAGAAGAAAGTTTTCTGAGAGAGAAGGTATTTGTTGGCGTTGGCTGCTCCAAGTTCACGGGCGAGGACGTCCTTTTGGTTTTTCTGTTTAAGTAAATTTATTGCGTCATTAAAATAGGTTTTTCTAATATTGTTTATAATAGTATAAGTAAAAATGCATTGTTTTCATAATTATTATTATTTTTTAACAAGAGTTTCTAATAATTGATTCAGTTTACATCGTGCTAAATCGTCCAAGTTGATTACTCTTTCGCAATAAATGGCCTACCCAAAATGATTTGTTCCGGGATAAGCCCAGAAGGTCTTGAAGCTGCATCCTTCATTCAAAACTCAGCCAGGGTGCTGCCATCTGAGGCGTAAAGGTGGAACTCCTCGAATCCCTTAGCAAGATTGGAAAGAAAAAAATCATGGAATGATGGCAGTGCAGTTGAATCAGATCGAAGTTTTCTTCTTCTAATTACCTTGACCTTCAACATGAAGTAGAAAACCAAAGGCATCACCGGCCAAAGGAGGAAATAGGAAAGATGGAAAAGAAGAGAACAGTGACAAACCACTTACATCAATAGAACAATGTTGCTAAGCAACATCAGGTACTGGATTTATTTTCGCTCTCCTTTCCACTCTCCATGAAAAGGAAAAAACATAAATGTATCACATTCAAAATAAATTAAAATAACAGTATTATAAACTTGGGATTTAGCTTAATCTATTCACTTTGCTATTAAACATGTTTTTATAAAAATGATTTTAAACTTCCAATTATTCATTCTTACAGTCCTCTCATCAACAAAATAAATAACCAGCTTACACAATGAAACCCCATGTGTCCTGCATTCTTCTTATCTCAGTAAAAGGACATAACCATCCTGCATACATGCATGGAATATGCATCCTTCACTACAATTAAAGATTACCTGAATTCTATTGTAGTTCTAGTTAATGCTATTTTTTTTTCTCGTGCAAATATACAATTGCTCCCGTCCTTCGACGATAACCATCTTTTTGAAACTCTGTTTCCTAGAATACCCTTTACCTTTCTAAATTTAAATCTTGTCTCTATGTCAATCTCCTCTTTCTCCAAAATTATCAGATTTGCCAATTATGGAGACATCCACCAGATCTCATAAATCGGTTGCTTACCTGGGCATAGGCGTGCTCTGGATTGAATCCCTTGAAGAAGATGCTGTCTCCCCTGGCGAAGAGTGGTCTCGCGGTAGTCCTGTAGACCTTGCCTCCCATGATGGCGCCGTGGATGGTGTGGACGGAGTAGAAGGAGTTGCTGTTCTCAACGTCGTGGCAGGTCTCGATCATCGGAATCCACGAATCTTCGACCTGGAATATGATGTGTGATTAAATATCAGAACAAGTATTATTCGACCTCATCAATCATAGGATCGCTTGGTCATTGAAATTAAACGTGGCTGACTCGAAGGTTTCGATCAAACGAAGGTAACACAAAGTCGATAACTTCAAGGTGTGGATTAAACCTATTAGTCGCTACAAACATTATTGATCCCCCCCCCCCAAAAAAAATCAATTACAGCTGTATAATGAAATGATTTTTTCTTGTACTGATTATAAGCGTAACTATCTATGAAAAAACAAAACAATTATCTGTGACTAAGCTCTCTAAGTTATCTTTTGATAACTCTACAATCTAGTAACTTCTACAATTTTTATCAGCAAGCCTAAAAGTATGAGAAAAATAAAGGATCAAGCTGGAAATATGAACAACGAAAAATATCTAATTGTTTAGATTTACTATTCCTTAATCATTTTGTTTTCTTTTTTCACCTCTAGACGACTTTGCACTTTTATTCTAAGTCTTACAATTAAAATAAACCGTTAGCATTTATAGATTTTAAAAATTTAATTTTTAGTTTTTTTTTTTTTCACTTTAGCCTCACTTTGTGGAGCTGGCAAAGTCAGAAGGGAGTATAGAAGTGAGGCTGAAACCTTCCCAAAATGGAAAAAATTGTTTTCGTTTTTTTAATGATTCATATTTATTTCTATGAGTAATCTGTGATAAATAATTAAACAATCCCAAGTTATTGGTTTTCTGAATGTAAGCAGTTGTAAAAAAAAAATAAATGAACATGTCGGAAATTTGACCCGATTGCAATACTTTCCTTACCTAGTATAGGTAGGAAAGTAAAAATTATCGCTAAGAGCATCATTGTTCCTAATATTGCCGTTACTAAGTTATTTAAAAACCATACATTTGCCCAAAACAAAAAAAAATTATCCTTACCACCCAAAAAAAATTAAATCTTGGATCTGTTACTCCTCTGTGGCGGTTGAGAAACATACGATTTAGAGAAATTGGAACTAAAAAAACAAACACATATGAGTTAACAAAAACTTAGAACATATATAATCAAAGTTTTAAAATTTAATTTGCCATTGTTCAGTAGAAAAAAAAAAACCAAAGGTGTATGCTTTATACCACACGATAGAAGTGAAATCATCAGCAAATCAAGATTAATAATATGAAATATAAATTATAAAGAATTTCTTATTGTAAAGTGGATGAAATTCTGTACAATTCTATCGCTTACAGTATGCAGGTCGGATATTTAGTTTCTGATATATTTTAGTCCTGAGCAATAAAACTCGTTATCATTTGGTTTTCGATACTATTTTTTCGTTTTCATCTCTCTAACACTACGTCGCTTTAAGGTAAAATTTTAAATACTAGCTCATTTCAAATAAAATAAAATGATGAACGTTTCCCTCGTTAACAATATGCAGGTCCGAATTTTAATTTTTGAGATATTTTAACCCATATGCAAAAACACTTCAATTAGTCGTCTCCAGCCGACTTTACCTGAGCGTTACACATTGGAGATCTGACAGTTTAATCTAATTCACTCTCTACAAAGAGTGAATTAGGCAAAACGCGCCTAAAGAAATTTTCACTTAAAAAAAATTGTTATAAATTTATAATAATGTAAAATTGTTATAAATCGTTTTATGGGAACTGATAAAATAAGCATGAGAAATATGTGTGGACTCTATGTAAACCGATTCTTTTTTAAATCTGTAGCATGAAAAATAGTTTTCATTAATTTTTTCGTACGTTAAAAAATAATTTCTAATTGTTTTAGAGTTCTGACAGTTTTAAAATTTTAAAAATATGTTTACTTTTTTTATTTTTAACTTTTGTTTTGGCTTTAATTTTCTGTTATTAACAAACAGTTTTGGTACTCACATCGAATCCCAGTTCAACGATTATTCCCTTTCCTCCAGCACACTTCTTCTGGGTAGGTCTGGTGGTGGAGCCAGCCCTGGAGCTACAGTCGAGGTCTTGAGAAGAATAGTCGGATCCATCGATGGATAAGGTCTTTCCAGCCTTGCAGGAAGCTCCGGAAGCTTCACTGTTAGTGATAGCGAGGTGGTTCTTCTTGCCAGGACAAGAAATCAAGATTTGCTGGAACAAAATTAAAATAAATTAATACTAATTAATTAAAAACTATAATTAATATTCAGTTAATTTATAATCATTGCGAGTACATGCCCAAGTATATATGATTAACAGAATTGCTTAATAGAAAACTGTAATCAGAGAATGTGTGGTTATGAAATTTTAGGCGCTTAAGCAATTATAATATGAAGTTATTTGGTAAGTTTCTAAATATAGCGCCGAGCTCATCTATGACATCAGAAATTTTATCAGACCTTTACCACAACTTTATGGTGGAATTTTCTTTATCTGTCAAGTAAATCACCGATGGCTTAATGGTTCCAGGGATGTCCAGAAAAGGGTTTGATGGACCGTTATTTTGGAGGGTTTTTGAATTTTTGAAGGGGGGACATTTTGACGGGCTTATGAATTTTCGAAATGAAGTTTCATACTTAGGTACAAGAGGAAAACATATAATCGCAGCATATACGATCTATGATTCTTCTTATTCTACCTTGGCTTACTGTGTTTTTAAGAAAAATGAGCAATAAAATATCTTGGGAGTGTGAAGGATAGGTTCTTGCGCCATCGATCTTTGGGTGATGGGCACTCCTGGGTGGTCCCATCGGTAGTTCCGTTAGATTAACTTTATCATAACCTAAATGTTTCTATTTCTCAATTTACTTTGTATATATATTTATTTATGCCTTGAAATTCAATCATTCAATATGTAAGTAATTTCGTAAACATTTTATTTTGAAATATTTCAGAAGTGTCAAACTGTAGCTGGCATCCATCAGGTCGTACCTAAACTCTGCCTAAGCCGCTATCTATGGATTGATAGATTCCATCGATGGAATCAGCGTTAAGTTTAGAAATGTTTGAATGTGAAATTATAAGATTTACTAGACTGATTGAGTAAAGTTGTAATTCACTAAAATTTTCTATAAAATGAGAATTTTACATCCTTCTGTTACATCTATTACATGGATTGATCCTGTGATTTGGAGGCTCTCCAGGGGCACACTCAATCTCTATAAAGTGAAAACTTTTAATTAATTAATTGATTAAACGGGAAATGCTTAAGCGTGATCTTGGTCATATGTCACGTGACCTCCTTGTACCACTATGTGCTTAAGAACCCTTCATAGGTTGTAGTGTTACAGGAAAAAAATTATGTTTTTTAAGCTAGAGGCAATTAATATGTGAATTCATAGTTGGGTTTTTAAATTACGTAGGTATTACACAACATGTTGTTTATTATTTAGTGACGATGAATATGAATAGAAAATGTTTGTCAACAATAATTTGTATAATCACAATTACATATTCATAACAGTGTTTTAACGACTGTTCAAACATTTTATTATTTATTTGTACTACGTAATTAATACGATTGTATTAATTACAATTGTATAAGAGCTAGTACACATGGGCAAAGTTGTGTTCACAATTTTATGATTTTTTTTTTTTTATTCAATTCGTATCATTTTATTACCACTACTTGTACTGTACTAATTATTATATTATTGTATTATATTAGTTAGAGTGAGGATTAAAAAAATATAAGATAAATTAAAATCTTAAATTCCTGAAGATATACAGAATAAAATGAATTTATCTTTCGCTTACAAGGAGATAAAATTTATGTTAATTTATAATTGGACTATAGTCCTGAAAATTCTTGTTTGCAGAAATTTTGAAATATAACCCGACACATTAAAATTAGTTTAAGAAATATGCTCTTTGTGTCTCTATTATAACATGTTAAATGTATTATTTATCATATCATTACAAATTCTTTGTTCTCCTTCCTGTTTAATAGGCGAAGGAATGAAAAAGTGGAGTTTTTAAATTATATGATAACCAAAAATAGTGTAACGAATGAAAACAAAAAATCATTTATCTTTTTCAAGTAAAACAATGGAATGGACCTCAATAAAACTACCAAGCTGTCAGAAAATTATAAAAACAAAAGACACCTATAATTCTGACTTAACTCTTTTATGCATGACCCTAACTTAGAACCAGCTAAATTTTTTAAAATCTTTTAGGATTTGATATTATGAATTCCCAATAACTCAAATAGCTAATAGGTGAGAAAATAAAATAAAACTTTGAGGCATTCTTTAAAACACTGACTGAATTCTATGAAGAATTTTGGAATGTTTTAACTTTACTTTTTTATAGACCTTGTAGATATTTCGCAGCCTTAACCAGTCTACTGTTCCTATTCTTATATTGGGCTGTTTCTTCCCAGTTATCTGCAAGCAGTTCTATATTATATTTGTAGATTCAATCTATCCATTTGCTTTTTGGCTTTCCAGGTTCTTTTACCTGCTATTGAGGCATTCATTGTCGTTTAGAGGCTTCCAGTTGGATTACGTCGAGCTATCTGCTCCGTCCATCTTAACCTCTGTGCCTTCATATCATGGGATATTGATTGACCAGTTTCTATAAGCCAGATCTTGGCCAGATGATTGACCAGTGGTCGTTCTACTCCATGTATTAGTACTCTGATTCCGGATCGATCCGGATATCGTATATAAGATTTTTCTCTCAAAGCTTTCAATACTTTTTCTAGGGTGTTGGTTAGTGCCCAGGTCTCACTGCCATATATTAAAACTGGCTTTATCATATTATTGTACATCCTTAATTTGAGGTTTCTTAATTAAATACCTTTGAGATGGAGAAGAAAGCTCTTTTTGTACTTGTTATACACTGGTCCATTGATATTTCCGACGGTTGGTCATTCATTGAGGTTATTGTGGAACTGAGTTATTTAAATTTGTCTTTTTCCAGAGAATAATCTCTCTTCTATGCAGATCCTGATATTGGGGTGGAATTTTTGGCTTATTATATGTTTCATTTGTCTTAATTTACTTGTAGTCCGATTTTTTATGTTTTTTTTTTATAAGTCTTAACGAGTTTTTCAACTCCTCTTGATTACTTCCATGGACAGCTGTATCATCTACTTATGCAAGGAAGTTATGGTTCTATATTTATATCCTGTAATGCTGAAAGCAAATAGTTATCAATCGTAGTGTAGTATATTTTTTTAATTTTTAAAACATTTATTCTGGCAGAATGATAATGAAAAAAAAAATGTATAAATTAAAGTATGTTGATGGAATCAATTTTTGTTGTAAACGATAACCTTGTTAATCATACATTATTTTTAAAAAATCTCATAAATTCCAACGACAAGAAACCATAAATGACGGCGAGTATTTGACCTTTCTTGCAGAATAATCCATTCAGAGATTCGATTTAATACATTACTACAGTTACTGTAAAACTTGATGGAAACCAGAGCTTGTAGAAACATTTTTGGTATGTAAGAATAGTTTAAATGGTATAAAGGATGGATATTGGCACAATTAGGTCTATTTGGAATAACACGAGATCATATAAAGAATATTTCAATATCTGCTTGCATTAAAGCTTTTCGCCCTTCGTGAGCGCTGGATGTTAGCTCGTGTAATAGCCAGCTCTCATATCGACCATGCCATGCCATGTTCCATCTCTATAAGAGAGAATAATATTTTACTCAATACGGTGAAGTATAGTTATGTATATATTTGTTAGTTGAATATATATTATTCTCTCCTTTGCAAACACTTATAATGTTTCTTGACGGAAAATTAATAGTGTGCGTTGGTAGTGAAAACTCCTGCTTTAATAGATTTCTTGGCTGTACTCTAACTTTAGGAAAAATATGATCACTGAGTCAGTGAAATCAAGAGGTGGTAAAAGATTTTTTTTTAAATTTATATTATACATTTAACCAGTAAAATAATAAATAAATAAATTTGGTGTAGTTTGGACGTCATAAAACATTCACTTACCATCACATTTTCAGTAGAAATAAATTTATATACAATATAACAGGACCAAATTAAATTTATCCACGAATAATTTAAATCTGTTATCGGGTTATAACAGCTTAATCTCTTATTCCCACCCCTCTCATCAGTCAAGTTAACGATTTTTTTGGTCATTCGCCATTATCTTCTATGATCGTTTATTTCCACTTATTCCACTATAAATGAAATAAATGTTACAATGCCTATTGACTTCAAATAAACAAGATTCATAAAAAGTTTTGTGTGAGTAAAAATTTGAACAACATTACTCAAAACCAAAAAGACCTATGACACTAAAATTATGTATTTATGTTAGGTATATATCTGGGATGTTACAGCAACTTTTTTAACTCAATAGCAATGTAAAATTATATATCATTAATTAAGTATATTACAAATCTTTTATTGTCAGCAATAATGCGAACTGGATAGTTATGAGCTTTTAGAGAACTCGATAATTAATCAAAGGAGAAAATAGTAATATTATTTTCGCTTCCTTAAAACTGATTTACACTAATAAGAGTATTCTTTAGATAAAATCTGAGAAACGTTATAGATAATTTTGAGTTTCACAAACCAAAAATATATAGCGCTCAAAGCTCACATACTTTAATTTTAACTTATTATGCCACAGTAACGCCACGGGAATTTACTCAATATAGATAATTTTGGTTAGGAACAACTTTTTGTTTTTGAGTCAGACTTTTCACATACCTACACCCCATTTTTCGAGACTTAAGAGACAGAGAACTTTAAAACTTTCTTTTTTCGATGTTAACTCTTATTCGAAATTATTCAACTCAATTTTTTTCTTTACGATATAAAAAAAAACATTAAATAATGAAGTTAATTTTGATATGAAAACTCCTTCGGACACAAGTCAGGTTTGGCTCAAATTATTTATTTTTAATAATAATTATATCATATATTTTATTTTAATGTGTTTTTTTAATATTAATACTTTTATGATATATATAATTACCTCGCCTTCCCTGAGAGCAATGACTCCTCGTTTTCCTTCCATTTCCGGCAAGACCAGGTCTAAGGATCCGGAAGGAGATCGTTGAAGAAAAAGAGGTTCATTTTTCTTCGGCAAGTCAGTATTCAAGTCCAGAATACAAGCGCCTCCTGTATCAGAAAGGAAGAAGGTGTTACATCAAATTTTATGTTATTTTAAGTTTAAGTTTCCTTAAATTTGTTTTCACTTTATGTCGTGTCAGTAGTAATTCTTGTCAAAGTATCTTTTCATTCATCATTAGTGGATCCAGGATTTAATTTTGGGGGAGGCTTGAGCCAGAAAGATTTTTTTTTCATATATTTAATTAATTTGAAAAAAAAAGAAAGAAATAAAATACCTACATGAAATCGTGTTTAAGTGGTTGTTGAAGTCCTATTAAATGTAATTACACGAACAAAAAATTCTTTAAGAGATAGTTTATCATATTTTTTTCTGTAAAACATGGTTATATTTTACCGTTTTGGGAGGAGGGGGGGGCTTCAGCCCAAAAGCCCCTCCCGTAGATCTGTCTGTACCATACCTTAATCCTGTTCGAGGGAAGTTTATTTGTTAATTTTTACCAACTACATGCATTAACAATAATACATGTTTCGATTTGATGAAATATTACATAGTTCTTTATAAAAATAATAACATACATGATGATGGTAAGACAATAAAATTAAAATTTTCATAATATAACTCATGTTGCTCTTGTTTGCAGATGACATAGCTATTTTTGCTGATACCTCTAAATATATACTGCAGAGACAATAAACTACTTATAAACATTGATAAAACGGAAATTTTGTATTTCGCAAGAGGGTGCCCAAAGAAATATAACAGTATGGATGGATAACTGATTGATACTGTCAGTACATACAATTATTTAGGTGTTCACTTTAGTAGGTTTGGTTTATTTTCGCACGCAATTAAGATGGCAATCTCAAAGTCAAACTCGACAACTGTTTAATAAACACTTGTTCGAAAGCAAAAACGAACTCCTGGAAGGTGAGAGATAAGTTGAAAAAGTTATCATCAAAAACTCTCTGCTATAGTATGCCCAATTATGGAGTCTCCGATACATAGAGCTCTTAGAAAATATCAACACAAATTTCTATAAAAAAACACATTCGCTAAGTAAAACGATCTCAGACTTTTTAGTACGTTTAGAAACAGGTTCTACCCATATTGGTTTCAATATTATGAAGTGTTCATTGAATTGGTTGGTTAAGCTTGTGGAAATGGAGGAATTTAGATATCCTAAAATATGTTTCTAAAAACTAAGAAGTAATGTCACTTAGCTAATCCTGCTCTATCGAAATATAATTGGTGTTCTCAGCTAAAAGTATTGTTAGATACTATTGGTGAAGGAAACCTAGTTTATGAAACCAACTCAGCCATAATTAGAACAAATGTTAATAGGTTGTGACAGACTCCATTTGTATAGTGTTCTTCCCTTGATATATAAAGATTGAATTGAATTGAAAACTCGTGAAAAAAACAACATAAGTATATAGAAATCAAAGCAAACATCATTAAAAACAGATTTACTCTAAACTATTATTAGTCACCATATAGTCTATTAGTAGTCAATAGACTTTCCATATTGATTATAAGGGAGGGATGGATGGATAAAAAAAAAAAAAATTAGGAGTTCATATTATGCTTAAAATATCATAATTACTGTGAAATCAACAATTATAATATTAAATAGTCTAAAAAATATATATATCTATATATTTTTTTATAGTTGTAGGATATTTTTTTTTTTATGGATACGGATGGATTTGAAAATATCTGAATAAAACAATTGGAAACATTACATATTTGGATAAAACATGAACGAAGGGATACAGACTCCATAATATAAGTACATTTCAGGAACTTTTCTAGCCAAAAATGAATAATGTTAAAAACTGAAAAATATTTTTAATTTCTCAAAATAAAGTTCATTTTCATAGTCTGACTAATTATTTAAAAATGTTCACTATAAAATATATGTATGCTTATACTTATTAAATACATTTCTTTAAATTTGCCGCAGAAAATGTGATTGGAATATCACGTGAAAATGGAGGGATGGACATGACAGTTCAATAAATCATAAAATCCTTGGATATGTAGCTATATTGTGATTTCGGAATATAAATAAAACTTAAATAATAGCAATATTTAAGTTCGGTAAAATTGTTACGTACATGACCAGTTAATATTTATTTAAAATTATTAATATTTACATGACTAGGGCTTTTCGAATTTTCTCAATCGTTTAGTTTACACATTTTATTCGTTCATATAACTTATTTTTTTATAAGTTTTAATTTTTTTTACCTCAAATGTTCGGAGGGGGTGGCGAAACGATATTATCGCTCCCTATGTATGTTATTTGGGTAGAAGGCCTCGCCATTTCTATTGATTGCAAGTAATTTAAATTTTGAAGATGGTTGTTTAAATAAAAATTACTTTACCTCTAATTTTATATAATACATTTCGAAATGCGATTAAAGCATTGCCACAGACAAAATGAGTAAAAGTGTAAGAGAAGTTATAAATTTTCAATATTCAATCTTAAAATTGGTTAAATTATTTTACCTCAAAAATGTTAGTTATGTGCGAACTTTGTCAAACGAAATTAGTGAGTGAACTTATAAACTAAATTTGCTCTTCCATATATAATAAATAATATAAATCTATTATATTCTGAAAAATTAGTTACATTAATTTAAGGATCAGCCCCATCATTTAATCATTATACAGAAATCATGGACATTACCAGAAATAATAAATAAGTCATAGCATATAGACATCTTTAAAATGCAAACACAAAGAAAAAGGATAATTCCAAGACAATGAACCATTTAAAAAAAAAAATTAACTGTTGAATCAAATTTGTTAAAATTGATACTATACGATACCTACATCATTATCCAAAATTCCTCCGATTTCAGGTCAATTCTAACAAGCCATTTCCAAAATATAGGCGAAGAAAACGTTACGTTTTCAAGCCCGAAAGCGAAAGACAATTTCGCAATGGATTCAAATCGGAATTTAGATTGTAGATAATATATGGGTTACTGATACAGACTTATGTAATTACAACATTATTCTAAATTAAATTTGAATATGGAAAAACCCATCAAGAGATATGACGTATGCTGAATTTCAGGTTTCGAAAAAGTTTAAAAACCGCAAAAATAATTATTATACTAACAAATTACAAACATTATTATGCAAATTTCGTTTAGAAAATGGTTCAAAAACATCTTTTTTTAATAATTGCTTTATTTATTAGTACTATATAGAGTTCAAATTTATACAAAATCAAAATTAACCAATATATTATGTTATAGTGATATGATTCGAACATTTATAACTATTTTGAGAATGAAAAGGTTGACTTTAAATAAGCGACTGAAAATAGCCAGCTCACGTTTTTCCAAATAAAATTTGAAAACTAGACAAAAAAAAAGATACATACCTCACCTACTCAAACCCACATTGACACACATTTCTCGGATTAATGGTTCAGCAAAAAAGACTTACAATAACTACAGTCATCTCAGTCCAAAATTTTAAGACTAATAACTCTCCTGTACGTATACAATAAAACATTACATAATGTCTTACGATAACCATCGTCCAATTTGAATGTATAAAATGTGACTGTAACAAAAAAATCATATACATACCTATCTTAAGACTTTTCGTTTTTGAAATAAGCTATTCACACATAACAGACACACACAGACTGTTTCGTAAGACTTGGTTATTCATTATTAAATTGCTATTATAATACAAAGCAATATAATTACAATATTTATTTATTTATTTGATTCAGAGAACTTCAAAACGTGTATTTCCGATGAAAACTCGGTTTCGAAATATTTCACCATAGCAATTTACATTTTCTTTATTAATATGTGAATGTAAAAAGATTAAACAAAAAGAGATGATATTTATACACATACCCAGTAATATTCCTTCCGAAGACAATATTTCCTAGGCACATTCCTTTACCAAATAATCAATAGTCATCGTCCGTCCTACGCATACAATCTCCTACAATTCAAATCATCTATCCACACCCTCTCCACAAGATCTCGTCCTTCTGACCTTTACACTCCTTTCCACAGATCTGCATCATTTAAACATTCCTTCGTTGTCCGTTCCACCACATTCTGGAATTCCATCCCACTAAAAATCCGCCATGCATCATCCTTATCCACCTTTAAAACCCTCTTATTCCAATTCCTCTTCACAATCCAATCAGACGCTGGTTAAATACATACTATGTTATAAGGATTTAATTTTCTTTAGACATTATTTTTTTCTCTTATTTTTTATTGTTTTATTCTGTGTTGAACGTGAATTTTCATCACCACTCACTAAGCATTGTGAGTAGATAAAATTTGTTTTCCTTAAGTTCTAATTTGTTATTCATGGAATGTATTTCAGTGAAATGTATTTTATTTCTAATTATCTTCAATATACTTCTCGCTATGTGTATATATATATATACTTTATTTTATTTTCTCTTCTCCTAATCTTTACGCATAATCACTTATATATCTTAGGGAACATATGTATATCATTATTTGTTTTTTTATATATTTTTTTGTTTTAGTTTTTACAATTTCTTTCCCTACATATTAACAGTTATTATTATTTTTTTAAATTTTTATATTCCATCACTACAATGCTTTACCTATAAAATAGATTTTGCTTTCCTTTATAATTTCATTCAGTGATTATTATGCAATTATTTTAGCTCCAATATTGTAGTACTGAACCCCTATTACCAAACTGTCCTCGTTAATTTATCCTAAGAGCTTAATTAATACTTAATGTATTACATGTATTTTGTCATTATTCATTGTAATAAGTCTTTTGACCAGATTTGTAGTTAATATATATGAACAATACTGTTATTCTAAAGGGACCTAGTCCCAGAATAAAGATGATTTTTCTATTATTCGAAGACAGTTCAGAATATGCATTGAGCATTTAGCTAGTTAGTGATATTTAGCCCCTGATTTAGTTACCTATATGGGTGCCATTTTTAACAAAAGGTTAGCCTAAGATAACTATTTTCAAAATTACACAAACGTTTTAAGTTAATCCTCAGATT